AACATGAATTTAATCAATATAATTAATATCGTATAAAAATTAAATATTATAAATAATTTTTACATTATTATTATTACAAATAATAATTAAATAAAAATTTATAGAAAAGTAAGTTTATTTAAAGATTTTTAATCTTTATTAAAAAAAATATTAATATATTATTCTGTAAATAAAATTTATTAAAAAATTCCTAAATATATTATTATAATATATATAATTCTTTTTTTTGTATTTATATATTTAAAATGAATATTAAAAAATTTTACAATTTTTCTATTTAGAATTTTCCTAAATATAATTTATTTTAAATGAATAAGTTTGATGTTATTCTGATATATTCTAATCACTAAATCTTATATTTTAATTACTATTTGCAATTAATAAATTTTAATAATTTTAAAATCATGATGTTATGAAATTATGCTATATTTCCAAACTTAATATTTATTTTCAAAGAAGTAAAAAAAAATCATATTTTTTTTATAAATAAAATCTTTATATAAACTTATAACATGAAGAAAAAAATTTTATAAATTCAATAAATATATATGATATATATACTTAACAATCAATTAATTGTTATATTGTTATTATATTATTAACATTTGTCATAAAATATAAACAATAATTATACATAATTATATTATATTTATATTATATTTATATTATTAATTTATAAATATTTATTTTATTATATATATAAATATTATAAATATAATATTATTATATATATAAATATTTATATTTATATTATATCATAAGAAAAATTTCTCATTCTTGATTTTTTGCTTTTTATATCCTCTAATAGCTAAAAAAAAGTACTTAAAAAAATTAAAATTAAATAGAAAATTAATTGACAAATTTCATGTTTCAATAACTATTATAAGCTACAAATTTTATATGATAATTTATTTTCTTGTAAAAATTAGAAAATGTGACTTATTTTAATAAGTATTAAGTATTTTATACAATTTTCATATAATATAAATTATAATTTTCTATGGTAAACTATTAGTATTATTAGATTATTAGTAATGATTAATATATAAAGTTACCTGTTATTCGGTGGAAAAATGTACAGTGAGTAATCATCGCGTTCCTTAAGGCATCCTTTAGGTTCAAAAAACATGAAAATCTTTTTAATTCTCTCAATACTGCTTACACTACCATGACCATTCAAAGGAGGCGTCTGTTCATCTGTATGAGAATTGTCATTATCTTGATCGGGAAGTCGTTTAATTCTGGGCAGTGGACCAGTCTCCATTGATAAATTATTGATTGTACGTGCCGTTGAGCATTGCATAGGTATTTCGTCCAGAGGTAAAATCTTCCTTGTTGGTGATTGAATATTTTCATTTTCACGCAACGAGTTCCTTCGTGAAAGGTCACTAATCCATCGCATCTTCAAAATATATATGAATTCCAAATACTACAGATTCATCATTAACATTATATGTGAATAATACATTTAAAATATCGTATTTAAAATCTATCTAAATCGTATCTAAAATATCGATAATATTCTATTTTTAAGAATATATATGTCATCGATTTTAATAACTTTGAAATCAAAAGTATTTTTAACTCTTTTTTATTTATACATATAGAGAATGTTAATATATTTGTGGAACAGTTGAAGTTGTATAAAAGAAGAAATATAAAATATCAAAAGAAATATAAAAGTTGGTATAAAATCAATTGACACTTATTTATTAAATTATAAGCAATTTAAGTTCATGAGACTAGAATAAAATGTAACAATGATA